TAAAATTTCCATGACTAAGATTACCCAAAGATTTCTTATACTGTATTCATCACCAAAAGTACAATCAATAAGAAAAGATAAACTTCATCGTAATTATAAACATTTGCACTTCAAAGACTCTATTATGAAAATGAAAATACAATTAGAAGAGCATATTTACAAATCAGAATTTAATAAAGGTTTGTGGTGGGCCCAAAGAAGTCTTATAATTCAATGGTAAAACACAACCTAACTGAAAATGGGCATACTGTTACATGGATAACAAATACACACAGGAAGAGATACTCAACATCATTAGTTATCAGGAAAATGCAAATTCAAACCACAATGAGATTCCTTGTCACAGCCACTAGAACTGCTACAATCAAAAAAGACCAACAGTAACAAATGTTGGTAAGGATATCAACTCAAAGTGTCATATGTTATTTGTAAAAATATAAAATGGTACAACCACAGTAAAAAATTTGACAGTTTCTTTAAAAGTTAAATGACTTACCAAATTCATAAGCAAAATGATCCCATAAACCTTAGGTATCTTAGGTATCTATCCATAAGCAATGAAACACATTTCAGAGGAAACCTTGTAAAGAAAAGACCACAGCAGCATTCTTCTTAATAGCCAGGAACTGGAAACAATTCAAATGCCCCTAAACTAGTGACAGAATAAACAAAATGCAGGATACAACCCACACATCTGATATTATTCAGCAATAAAAAGAAACTACTGACACATGCAACATCAACAAACAAACACAAAACTTTAAGTTGATCTGGGGGTGTTGCTCAATGGAAGTACACAGCTAGAATGCAAGAAGCCCTGGGTTTGATATCCAGCACGACATACACACACACACACACACACACACACACACACACACACATCCCAGCTGAGAAAAGCCAGACATAAAAGATACATGAATCAATTTACATTAATTATCCAGAAAAGGCAAGGTCATAGAGGCAAAAAGATAAATTGCCTGAGGCTGAGGGTGGGCATCAGGAGTAAGTACAACTAAGCATAAGGTATCTCTTCAGGTCCTTAAATGTTCTAAAATGGGAGTGGGGTGACACTTGCCCAATTCTGTAAATTTACTTAAAAAGACTGCAAGGAGTACATTTTATGATGTGTAAAATATATCTCAATAAAATTGCTTTATAAAATAGGGAAAACTCAGCATCACCAATGAAATCTTTGAAAATTCTGCTCTTGACTAAAGAACTATAATATAGCATCCAGGATAAGGTGTTCACAGCTCTGCCTGGCACCAGGACTTGCAGGTCTCACCTCCCCACCTGGCCAACCTCCTCAGATACCATCAAATACTGTTCTTCACGGCTGCCAAAGCTTCAAGCTAGAGTCAGAAAGCCTGAAACTCCAGGTCTTCCACCAACTCATCAGTGACCTGAAGTTATTTCACATCACTGAACTGGTCTCCTCATGTCTGAAGGGAGCTACCTCACTTCTATAACGGGGATCACGACATCTTACAAGGTCAGCATGTGGGATATCTGAAATACTGCTCTTAACACCCAGGGCACAGTGTCTAGCAGTGCATATACATACTCTACAAGGCTGGTTCCAGTCCTTCCATCAGTGTCACCTCCTCTGACCCTTCCACCTCAAGTGGGGAAGCCCCATTTCTTAGGGTGCTCTTTGTACCCCATTTTCTTCTTAGCACTTACAGCCTTTATTCTTTTCTCTCTGTCTTCTCTTTCACTTTGCTCCATTCCCTCTACTAGCCTGGGGTCTCCGTGATAGGCGGGCTTTAACTCTGTTCCTTACTGTCTCTGCAAGGCCAGTCCCAGGGCTGTAATGTGCCAGCAGTAAACATGTGCTGAGGCGAGGCATAACTGGTAACTTGGCAGAGTGTGCTGCCTTGTAGCCTGTGTGGCACTAGCATGTCTTGGGACTGTCTCTTGCATATGTGACTACACCCCTCTTGGTCCTTCACTCCACAGTGGTCAAGAACCAGCCTCACAGGAACAATGAAGAAAGTGGAGTTGATCTATCCCAGAGGGTGTAATGAGCTCTGGAACCTGGCTGAGGAAGTAAATTCCTGAATTGAGGCAAGCTGTAGGGAGACAAATGGTTGGAAACAGGAAGTGGCTGAACTCTGAGGAGTCTGGGGGTCCACAAGTAACCAAACTGAGTTGAATTACCAAGGTGACTTCTCCATAGGGTAGAGAAGAAGCAAAGTAGACACACACAGGGCATTACTGCTATATGTGTGCCTTCTCTCACTGGAAGAGGGGGTTAAATTTACTGATTGAAACAATCTTCATGTATTTCACACATGCTTGCTCTGAAAACTGGAGTTGAATATAATTGCAGCATTTTGCATTAATTAAATTTCTTTTACATCCGCGAAATTAGGGCTTGAACTTGCTATGTAAATTTGTGCAAGTAACTATGCAAATGAGCAAGGCGCTAGTACTTAATTTTAAGGGGACTGGAGCACTTTCTAGGACCAGGCCCCAGGGATTACATACAAGTAGTCTTTAAGAATATTTAATTCTCTCTGAAGGGGATGAGACAGATATTCTTTGGCATCTACCGCCTATTAGGCTAACTTATTTGTTCACTTTAGTGATTTTTTTAACTGATTTTTTACTTGCCTACCTAAAGAAAGACAAGGTAAACACCTCAATCCTCAAGTGACTTTGCTAACAAAAAGGGGCCATACACCCAAATATTTCATTATTATCGTGTCCCTTCATCTATCTTCCTCTTTCAAGCCGGGCACACAAGCAGAAGAAAGGCCGTGGCTTTCATAACACTGGGCCATGCACCTCACTGTGTGCCTCAAAAAGCCATTTATTCTCTGATTAGTGTGCCCAACTGGAAGAGGAAGCAGTCAACTGCTCTGCAAGATTCTTTCTAGTCTTAATAGTCTGATACAACTAAATGGGGCACCAGCATCCCTGGCAGGTCAGGTGAAGGTAACATCACAGATTTTCAGGCTGCCCTTACGTTTACCATTGTGGTATGCGAAGTGTAAAATAATAAGAAAGGGCTGCTTTTTGCATTCAAAAGATACAGATTAAAGGGCCAAAAGTTACTCAAGAAACACCTTGGGCAAAGTCCTTAATTGGTCTGAACATGATTCTCCATCTTTATAGAGAATTCATACTTTGTAGATTAAGAGAACTAGAAATAAACTGCATACTCAAAATGTTGCTTCTCCATCAACTGAGAAGAAATCACCTCCAAAGGTACTCCTTGAACCTTTGAAGATTGGAGTCAACATTCTCCAAAACAAGAGACAAAGTGACAAGGGTGAGGGAGCACCTGCAACCAAGGATGTCTTCCTAAATTCTACCGCAGATTCTTGCCTCTCAGCCTGTCAACACAAGCCGTCTCCTTCCCACTTCATCCTTGCCTCCAGCCAAGTCAGTGTGCCTACACACCTCTTGCTGAGCACCAAATGTGCTGCACACCCTGCTAAGCTAAGAGTGGCCCCACAAAGCATCCTCTATGTTTTCTAAACACCTTTGTACACATCTTCATCTTACCATACACAGCGCCCAGGATTCTCTCACACACATACTCCAACTCTTTAACGTAGCACTTGAAGTTCAAAGGAAAAATGAACCTTAGAAGTGAGGCCTCCTGAAGCGTTTCTGAATCACCTCTCTAAAGAATTCACCTACACCCAACTCTCTGCATCTCACTCAAACCTGTCCCATTTTGTGAGGTTCATTCATCTAATCACTCAGCAATTACTGACAAAGCACCCACTATGCCACAGATTCAGGAAGTCTAGGATAGTAGCTCAACGAACAGCCTTGAGGTTGACCTACTTCAATTCCAGTTCTCCACTTGTGACCTGTGTGACCTTAGATAAGTTACTTCACACCAGTACCTGTTCTCCTTAATCTACAAAATGAACTAACAGAGTTCTACGTTTCATAGGTCTGTTGAAAATTAAATGAAATACTTGTAAAGGGCTTACTACAACACATGGCAGCCACTACACAATGAAATATGAGCTGAGTTTATTATTCTTCTAAGTGGTGGGGACAGTCACAGATCACACAAGAACCTCAGCCTCAAGGAGTTTACACTCTAATGGGAAATGCAATAAACAAGTAAATACAATTATCAATACAAGTTTCAAATTGTGACAAGTGCCATGAAAATAATAAGTGTATGACAGCAGGGGTGGGAAACTATTTTCCAATCAGTGTTCAGAAAAGAATTCTTAGATGACCTGTAAGCTATTACAAGGACAATGAAAAGCCAGATATAAAGAAAGCATGGGGTGAAAAGTGCAGCAAACACAGAGACCTGGGCTTGGAGCAGGTTCGTATCTCCCAGGAAAAACGAGTTCTTAAGACTGGGGGCGGGGGAGAGGGGTTCAGAAAAATCAGCAAGCGCTAGGACAGCCTTGTAAAACCAAAGTTCCTCATCTTAAATGTGCTAGGAAGACACTGGAGAGTTTTACGCAAGCGGAAGGGTATACTATCTGATCTACAATTCTTAAAGTGCCTTTTTTAGCTGCGTTGTGGAGAACAGACTGTCGGGGAGGTGTGGAAGTGGATAGTCCCCGGTTAAGAGGCTGATGCAGTCGACCAAGAGTGTAAGCATCAAGTGTACACATAACAACACGCGCGTTCTTGGGCGGTGGGACAGAATGGGAGAATGAAGAACCAATTCGGGAAATGTAAAAAGCCAATCGGTGCGGGCAATGGCCCCAGACTGCCTCTTGTCCTAGCGGCCTCCCCACCTGTCACGTTCTCCACTCCCCTGAAACCACTGTAGTGGTAGTGTAGTGTACACTGTAGCCTTCAGTTCGGGTCCCGGCATAGCCTCTTCCTGGACTCGAGCCCCGGGGATTTTCCGAATCCCATGATCCCTCCCACGGTGAAAGGGCTCCACAAGCGAGGCAAGGCGGCGCACAGCGCGGGCCGCCCTTACGGCTCCGCACCGCCCCGCAGGCCGCGGCCCCTGCGCCCTCAGGTGCCCTCCATGCCCACCCGCCCCACGAGGCGGTGCTCACCCGGATGCCCTGCAGCACCCGGACCCGCTCCTCCTCGTCCATTCCGAAGGAGACCCTGCGGCCCTCGCAGCTCTCGGTGCTCCCCATGGCAGGACGCGGGCAGACGGGCAGGTAAGCGGACGGGCGACCACGCGACCCGGCTCCAGAGCAACCAGGGAGACGCCGCCGAGCACCTCCCCGACTCAGGCGGCCGCAGCACGAACAACAAAACCCCGTCCTATTGGTCGGCGCCAGAAGCTTGGCCAATCAGGTTGCACGATCCCGCAATGTCTTATGGGAGTCGTAGTGTTCGGTCCGAGATCACGCTACGGGAAGCGGGGAGGAAGATGGGGGCGTGGCTGTGTCAACCTGACCGCGCGCGTTGGATAGAGGCAGAGCGCGGGTCTCCGCACCAGGGCTGGAAATGGCCAGCGCTCGCTTGCGAAGGTCACCCTTGAAGCAGAGCCCAGGATCACGTTCAGAGGCCAAGGGACCACCGGGAGGCGGCGGGGTCATCCAGAGATGAGCTTCAGCAAGCAGATTGAAGCAGCACTCCTGAGCACCAGGCAGACCCTGACTTCTCCCCATAAATACCATAACCAAGACTGTGACCTACCTTCCTGAGATGTACAGTGAGGTGGAGGAAACAAAGCACGAACAGGTAAGTACACCTGTGACAAACTCGAAGCTGCATCCTAGTGCCATGAGAGAAGTTAAAAGCAGGAGGCCTCCTTTAATTTGAAAGACCAGAGGACTCTCTCTGAGGAAGAGGCACTTGAATGGAAACCTAAGGATGAGTGGGAGTTAGCCAGAGATTGGGGACCAGCAAGGGCAGAGATCCTGAGACAGGAAAGTGAACAGAGGACCATCCCATGGCTGTAAAATAAACAGAGAAGCCAGGCGCCATGAGGTTAGGCAAGTAGGAAGGACAAAGGGTCTTATCAGATAGGCTCAGAGTTTGGGTTTTATTCTAAACACCCTTAGGAGTTCAGTGAATGGCCCAAAACACTCAGGAGACATTGTCCAAGGAGCATATATAGTACCACGAGTGGGGTGCAAAGTACTAAGCATTGTGTTCATGCATCTTGCAGAGGACCATAGTATAATGACGGATGCAAATGACTGCTATTGACAACCACAGCTACCTGGAACTGAAGCCCCTTTCTGTTCTCCCACGTTGCTGAGTAGCTGTAATTTGCCAGAGTGAGCCCCAAGCTGAATTCCGAATCTGGGCCTAGGGAACACTGGATTGCACCAGGAAATGGTAAGAAATACTTGGAGCTCTTTTGGCCAACTAGAAAGAAATGTGTGAGGAGTAGGGAGGGAGTGAAAGAGACTAGTGAGATGCTCTGAGACTGAACAGCTCCGGGTGACTGCCAGGGAACATTCCCAAGGTCAGATGACCAGAAAATCTTAAAAAAATAAGATATTTGTGGGTTTCATTCAGAAAAATTTTGATTTGCAAATCCCTCTCCATCCCCTCTGCCCTCCACATCTTCCCTGTAAGCAGAGCCTATGTAGAAAATTCCAGTGCGAGTGATTTATTGGGGGAGGACTCAGGAGAAGGGAAGTAAGGGAAGCAGGACAAGATGAGAGGGAAAAGCTAAGCAAAGAGCAGATCATGTCTGGTCCTGCACTTTCCTATGTTGAAAGGTTTTTGATTACTGATTTGATCTCCTTAATCATTATGCTGTTCAGATTTTCTGTGTCTTTATGCCTCAGTTTTGGTAAGTTGTATATTTCTGGTCAGTTGTCTATTTCTTCTAAATTACCCCCTTTGCTAGCAATTAATTGTTCACAGAACTCTACTATAATTCTCTGTATTTCTGTGGTATCAGTTGTGATACCACACCTTCATTTATAATTTCATTTAGTTGAGCACTCTCTCCTTCTCTGTCTCTCTGTCTCTCCGTCTCTCTCTGTGTCTCTCTCTCCCTCTTTCTCTCTCTCCCTCTTTCTCTCTCTCTCTCCCTCTTTCTCTCTCTCTCCCTCTTTCTCTCCTTCTCTTGACAGTTTAATTTTGTCAAATCTGTGGAGCTTTTCAAAAACCCAACTCTTAGTTTCACTGATCATGTTTGGTTGAGAGGGGTGGTTTGGTTTTTTTGTTGTTGTTTTTGAGACAAGGTCTCACTTTGTAGTTTAAGCTGGGCTTAAGCTCCAAAAAAACCCAGGCTGGCCTCAAACTCACATCAGTCTTCCTGCCTCAGGCTCCTAAGTGCTGAGATTACAGGTGTGTGCCACATTCCTGGCTTCACTGATCTTTTCTATGTCTTTCTAGTTCCATTTCAATTATCTCTGCTGTCATCTTTATTAGTTCTTTCCTACTGCTCTCTTTAGGCTTCATTTATTCTTCTTTTTCTAATTCCTTGAGGTTATAAAATCAAAGTTAGGTTGTAAAGTTCATTTGAAATCGTGTGTGTGTGTGTGTGTGTGTGTGTGTGTGTGTGTGAGAGAGAGAGTGAGAGAGAGAGAGAGACAGAGAGAGAGAGAGATACAAGGGATGGACCCCAGGACTTTACATATGCCAAGCAAGTACTCTACCTCTGAGCTATAGCCTCAGCCCTAAAGATCTTTTTTCTTAATTTGGGTATTTTGGGTGTAAATTTCTCTCTTAAAATGTGTTTGCTACATCCTTTAAGGTGTGTTTTTTTTTTTCTCGAGAATCTATTTTATTAGGCAAGTGAAATGAATAGATACTTCACAGAGGAAGAAATACAAATGGCCAACAAATATATGAAGAAATGTTCAATATCTCTGGTCATTAGAGAAATGCAAATTAAAACAATGCTAAGATTCATCTTACTCCAGAAAGAATGGCAGTCATCAAGAAATCAAAAATTAACAAATGCTGGAGAGGCTGTGGTAAAAAAAGGGACCCTCTACGTTGTTGGTGGGAATGTAAACTAGGATAACCATGATGAAAATCAATATGGAGATTTGTCCAAGCACTAAAATTAGAAATTCCATATGACCCCACTATCCCCCTTAAAGTTATCTTCCCCAAAGAGCTTAAAATATCATACTACAGCAATACTGACATTCATAACAATGTTTACACCAGCACAATTCATAATAGCTAAATCCTGGAAGCAACCTGTGTACCCATCAATAGACAGATAAAGAAAGAGGGACATCTATACATAATGGAATACTACTCAGCTATAAAGGAGGACAAATTTGAGACATTTGTGGGAAAATGAATACACCTGAGAAATACAATGTTGAATGAAATAAACCAGACATACAAGCTTAAATACCATATGGTATCTCTCATTAGAGTAAGGCAAAGTACAAACTAAGAGAAAAATAAAAAAGGGTAGAAGGAGATAAGGTGATGGATCTCCTACAAATGAGAAAGAGTCCAAGAGACAAGGGTGAGGGTATGGGGAGAGGGGAAGGAGAAATAAGTAGAATAAAATTATGCCATGTACAAGAACTTGAAAACTTCAATGACTGTAAACATTATATGCCATAAACATGAGCTGATGTTAATAATATCAACAAGAATGAAATAAGGAAAGGGGAACTAGAGGAGAGAGGGAGGGAGAGGGAACGTGATTGAAAAAGAAACAAGTTGTATTATGTACATGTCTCCACTCCCCAAGACCATTGTAAACTGAATGTCACAAAATGTGTACTAATAAAAACAAATAAAATTTAAAAATAAAAGGAACTATTTTATTTTCCTTTTGATTTCCTCCATGGTCCATTGTGTTACTTAATTTCCACACATCTCTGAATTTTCTGAAATTCATTACTAGTGGCTACCAACAGACTATCTGCCATAGTTTGGATTTTAAGTATCCCCCAAAGGCTCCTGGGTTGGAGGCTTGGTACCCAGAGAGGTGCTATTAAGAGATGGTCAGTCCTTTAGAAGGCCAGGCCTAATGAGAGGTAGTGGGATCATTGAAGGTGGTCCTTGGGGAGTACAGAGGACCCTCCCACCTTTCTCTTCTCTTTGGTTGGAGCACCAAGATGGCAGTGTGGTAAGCTTCAGAGAAACAGCCTCTCTGAGAGTCACCATCCAGATGCTGAAATATAGCAACATGAGGAAGACAAGAAGGAAGGAAGTGAGTCCCCTGAACCCAGGAAGAACCTGAAGTGTGAACTGAAGCCCACAGAGAGAGTGAAGAGAGAAACTTCAATGAAGAAGAAGGAGGTAGCCAGTGGCACCTTCTCCCTGAGAGGGGACTCATTGCACAAGATGAGTGGTTCAAACCTGTGGACACACCATGACTGCTGGTGACCCCAGAGGCCTCCAAGGAGAGATGCAGCAGTAGAGGGAAGCAGCAGACATGGGGGACTACACTAGCTGGTGGTGATTACTGGGGACTCAGTGGTCCCTCAAGAGAGAGCAATTGGCGAGGAGCCATCTTGGAGAGGAGGAAACTATCCTCAGAACTCAGACAAGCTGGTGGCTCCATCTAGATTGGCTCAGGCCCATCGAATGTGTGCTAATGGCTGCAGGCCAAATGAGACTGGTCTCAGCCAGACGTTGCAGGCTCACTGAGCTTATCCACTACCCTGCCAAAAACCTACTGCTACCTTGCTAGGACAGATCAGCATAGATTGGGACTCTGTATCTGCACATTGTTTACCAGTGACAGCAGAGACATACCTGGAAGTGGACTTTTTTATTTTTGTTTTTCTCTCTCTTACTTGTTTTTTGTTGTTCTTGTGGTAGCTTTGTTTTTTTGTTTTGTTTTTTTTGTTGTTTGATCTTGTTGTTATATGCCTGTGAATATGATTTCTAGCCTCTTTGTAGCTGTGGCTCTCTTCTGTTCTTTTTATCTCTTCCTTCTCTCTTTCCCTCCAGTATTTTGAACCAGTTTCCCAACATTAGAATGATCCCCCTTTGTCCTCCAGACTTATTTCTAATCTCTTCCTCTTCTTACACTTCTCTATTTCCTCCCTAACCCATTTTAAATTTTAACCCCTGAGGGCAAAATTGACATTAAGGACTTGTATACTGCATAACATTTTCTGGCTTGTTTTAGATTTTGTTATATAACCACAAGTCTAGTTTATACTGTTAAAGGTGACAAATTAATGGCTAGCTCAGTTTGTCATTTTCTAGGCTGTGTTTGATTCTATTGTCATTTGCTCATGGTAGCACTATAGCCAAAAGTGATATAATTGTTCTAAACAACTGTTTTTCCTGATATTCCAAGACTGAGATTGACTAAGGGTCACACAAATACTGTGGCACAGTGCCAAAGAACCAGGGG